ATGTTGAAGCGAGCGAAAGACACCTGTGAGGGCAGCTCCCGACACCAGAGGCCCCTGGGGCCCCTGAGGCCCCTGAGGCCCCTGCCAGCCTTCCCCATCACCTTGAACCTGAGCGCAGCGGTTGCCAGGTCCTCGCATTCACAGCCACTTTGGAACGTCTGGTTTTGGAAAGTCGTCAGATTTCAGACGCTGCAGCTTCAGTTTGAGACGTTTTTCTGGAACTTTGTTGAACTCAGTTTTTTCCGTGAGTAAAAACTAAAACCTCTTTCAAAACATCAGAACTCAGAGCAGTCGTTTTGACGGCTTTAAGTTTTGGATGCTCATGTCATCATTTTGTGACTTTCTATCTGTAGTTTATTTCCATGAATTGTATTATTTATAATCAATCATTTATGTAATTGTGATTCTTTGTTAAAGCCTAAAGACACTTCACATGTCATTACTCATCCTGGCTGTAGCCACAGCTGCCCTGGGTCTGACACCACCGTCAGTATAAGTAACATAAACAGCCTCAGCCTCAGGGTAATGTTGTCTGTCACCACTAGGGGTCACTGTAGCACAGACTCAGATTCACTGAACTCTGGTAACTCCCTGCTTTAGAAGCAGAGGTCAGGCCCTCATCAGCCTCACCCCTGTGCGCAGACCCCCCTCCTCCCCCTGAGGTGAGTGTGGGGAGACGGGGCGGAACTCACGCACCCGCACTGAACTTTCCACCTCTGCCCCGGTGACCCGCGGCTGACGGCGGCTGACTTGCACCTTTTACGCACACATGCACGCGCGGGAATATAATCAAAGGCTGCGTTGGAATTCTAAATGCAGTCCGCGCAGGCGCAGTGCGTGCTCTGTCACCGCAACCTCAGACTGGGTTTGTATCTTTATGTTTTTGTCCAAAGATAGTTTTTATGTTTGACTTTTGTTGTGGCTCGTGTTTCTCGGAGGAAATCAAAAGTTTGTTTGTTTGTAAATGACTGAAGCAGAAATGAAACCTTGGCTCTTAATGAATAATGTTTTCCATTTGACTCACTCTGAAAGACCAAATGTAAAAAAAACTATTATTCTTTACTTTCAGACAAAGATTAAAAGGTTAGATTCGCTTTTTTCTGATAATGTTACAATTTCACATTCATTTAAAACGTTTTTTACCATAACTGAAGCAAATGCCAACGGGGCCTGTGGGATCATTACAGCAGTTCATAACATGAAGTCGGTTAACTGATGAAAACTGACGTTTACGCACAGAACATAATGTGGATATAGACCTAATGCATACATTTTTAGTATTTGTATTTAGTTATTTAATGTTTTAGACAGTTTCAGCAAAGACAGGACTAAATAAAGACACACTAATAACATATGTGTTCTAATTCATGCTTTTAAATTAAATTAACTTTCTTTTCAAACGCAACAATGACGAGATCATTATGACTTTATATTGAATTATGTTGAATTCATCACGGTTCTTATGAGATCTACTGCCTATCCCAGTCCCCGTCCCCAGCCCGTCCCCAGCCCGTCCCGTCCCCGCAGGCTCCACTTGTCTTGATGCGATGTCCTGCTCCTGCCCTCCCCGCAGACGCCGCTCGTAAAGCCATAAATAAGCCCACAGCGCCATCTTTTACAAGCTGCCGTAAATTATCACGTCTGGAAGCATTCTCCTCCACAGACCTGAGCTGGGACAGTCCTGTGAAGCGCGCGGAGGTATTTTTAGCACATTGTTGTTGTATTTATGTTTCTGTAAATGAACACAGAGACATTTAGGTTGAGTTTGGTGAAAGAGAGAGAAGACCTGGGACTGAAGGGGTCTCAAGGATCGTCCCCTTGGTCTAAGGCGGGCTCTGGTGGTGGGAACAGAGAGCTGCATGTGTGTGTGTGTGTGTATGTGTGTGTGCAATACAATGATAATTTGCCCTTTTATTCCAATATTCCTGCACTAGAGTCAACAGTATGTTTTTTTTTTATTCTACTAAAGTTAGAGATTTAATTTTAATTTTAAAGTCTATATTATTAACGTTCCTTTATGTTGTGCTGTGTGCTCCTCATTCCTGCTGTTCTGTAACTGCTGATGCAACACTGACATTTCACTGAGGGACGAATAAAATAACTCAAAATTTAATCTTAAATGTCATGGATTTATTTCGAATTTTAATGCCAGAAAATAAGACCCGGATGTCGTTTTCCCCCCACATAACTATACACCCAAATATACACATGTCTTTTAAATCTGGCATCACCTCCTCACGTCATAACTATATTTAAAAATGACAAAAAAACTCAGAAAACGCCACTTAAACATATGTATTATTAGTGGTCTATTGTCATTTGCGATTTTTATGTTTTGCGTCAAATGTATAAAAAAAACACGTAAATTCTGAACGTTGACACAATATAAAAATTACGTAAAATCCCAACGGCTCAAACTATTTTCAAATGTTGTAATAAAACAATAACGCTGAGTATTGGTTTAGTTTTTAGTTTTTAGTATTTAGTATATTGACCAATTCTTTTTAGCGCATAATATTCAACATTTTTCCTAATTTTAGATCATTCCTAAACAAGAGCAGAATATTGTTCTTGTGTGTTTTCCAGTCTTTCCATAAACATTTCCATCTAACCTCTGAGCCCGAGAGGTTATCAGCGCGTCGTAAAACAAGGCAAAGAAAAACACGCGTCTTCTTCCCACGCATGCGCAGAGCCGACCCCTGACACGGCTCCAAGAATGTGCCAATAATAAGTGAGATAAGAGTCATAACTTTCCTCTGGGTCCGCGGCGGCCGCAGGGGGCTGTGACGCGCGGGGTTTGGGGGAAGAGGAACCCGGGAGCGCGCAGTCTCCCGGGAGCGCGCAGTTCACGCACGAGGAAGTTTACGTTTGTCTGCGGAAATACTGCTTTCCCTTTTCGACCTAAACACAAACAACGAGTGTGTGTCAGATCCGCTTTTGTGTGTTAGTGTTTGTGTGTGTGAGAGTGTGTGTGTTTGTGTGTGTCCGCGCGAGACCGTGTGTGTGTGTGTGTGTGTGAAAATAAATACGCGTAAATCTGTAAGGATTTTAAAGGTAAAATAAGACATAATTGTTGTTTTTCTACTACCTCATGACACAATGTAACAGTATGTGATATTTTGTATGGTCCAAAAAACAAGGTAAAAACGGTCAATTTCACTGTATAAAAAAAATGCCATTATGACTTAATTTGTTGCATTATCATTGCTATCAAAATTACATACTATTACTAGACCAGTATTTTTCAGTAAGTTTGCCATTTTGCATGAATCAAAAAGTGGTACGTATAAAAATCATATGGACACATTCTAAATTGGGTTGAAGAAAATACATTTATAATTTAGAATATAGTGAATTTAGCTGAACATATGTGTGTTTGTATAAAGTACGTCGCAGTAATTACAAAATATGAACAATAATTATTAAAAACGTTTTCGGCTTGTGTAAATATTACTTGTGTCACTTGTGTTTTTGTGTGTTTTGTGTTTTTTTCACTTTTGTGCAGGACTTTTGTAAAACTGTTGTTTAAATGTACTTTACAAATATAGATGGATTAAGAGTAAGATTAAGATCCTTTGGGGAAATTTCCATGTTTGAAATATAAAAAACAGGATTTTAAACGTTTCCGGTTTGCTCCCAGAGATTACACAAACACACATCTGATTATTACTAAAAAAAATGATCCATGAGTTTAGTTTTTGAAAAGCAGCCGCAGTTCTGTGTCCTGCATCTACACTTTAGTTAAATATAATCACCGAGACCCGTGCGTAAAGAGCGCCTCTCGTTTCCTCCCCGCTTTCCCTGCCGCGCATGCGCAGTGGGGCCCGTCTGCTGACCTCTCCGTGACTCCCGGTTGTGCATTATTCATGAGGGATGGCAGCGCGGCTCACCCCTCTCAGAATGCGCGCTGGAGGACATAACAGGGCCGCAAATGTCGCTTTAAACGACAAGCAATCACCGCCAGAGCAGCGCGGCGGGGGGAGAACACATTCAGCTTCTCCTCCTCTTCTCTGGAACGCACGTCATACACACAATGGCGTCTGGGATTTACAACTCAGAGCAAAATAACGCAGAAAATGAAAAAGTAGTTGGTTAAAAATGTATATTGTGCAGGTGTAGGGCCAGATTGGAGTCGTTTCAGACTCTGAGGAACATGAGCTGAGGCCTCGTTTCTGAACAGATTGAGCCAAAGTTGTTGTTTTTTGCTTTCAGAAAATTAGGATTAGTTTCACACGCGTGTTTTTTCAGCCTTTTCACAGCGTAACAACAGATTTGTATACAGAACTCAGCCACAGCGTCATATACGTACATAATAAAGTGCTCATAAGAGACACGCAGAATAAAACTCTAGTGTAAAATGGTCTAGTTTGTTTAAGGCGTGAGGTCGGTTCTCAGCATAACTAACAAAAGAGAGTACACACACACACATACACACACACACACACACACACACACACACACACACTCACACACACGCTGACGTTTCTTTCATGTTTGGTTCGTATATAGTCCTGCGTCTGCGTCAGTATTGAAAACATATGAGCTCTTTATACGTAAAACCATAAAACTGTCCATTTTCACAGCAGCCCCATCCGTGCATTCCTTCTTTCACTGGATCAGATTTCTCCAAAAATATTCTTTACACATGTCTAAAAATCTCTGTCGGTGAGCACTTCTCCTCTGCTGAGATAATCCACCCCAGTCCACATGCTTTTCCCTCAAATAGAGCAGAGCCGAGTTTTTCACGTATTCATTAAACTTAATCATGTTTGAGTGCGGGCCTAACTCATCTTTTTGTGGATATTCATGTGTTTTTATGGTTTGAGAAAATAAGCCTTAAAATGAGGTATAACATGCCATAGTATAGTCTATTACTCTGCAAAAAGTGATGAAAAATATGTCGGAAATTGCTCATATTTGGCAAAATGAGTACATTCTTAAAACAAGATTAACTGACAACGCAAAGTGATCTTGTGTTAAAAAGATACAGAAATGTCTTCTTTGGAATGAGAAAATAAACAGTTCTTGAAAGAAAACTAAATGACTTCGTCCCACTGGAGAATCTTGTTTAAACACAGTCAGAAAGAGTCAGATTAAGATAAAAACATTACATTTAACCCTCTGGCATCACGGTCTAAATGCCACCGCTGTATCTCGTTATATATGCAAAACACATGGGTAAATTCAATCCCTACATAAACTTTGGTCCATATTTAACATTTCTCTAATTTACAGAAAGCCTCTATCTCTTATCGATTTTAAGTTATATCCTTTAAGCTCATATTTGATCTTTTTCTGCAGTGAACCATCAGTAACCGTCTGTACGTCTCTGTACCGATCATTGAGAGTCATCAGGCTCCTTTCACTACGCTGCCGAACGGAAGGTTTAAGAGATCCTTCGGCTGTCAGACTGTACAACAAACCTGGATGAGTCTTCTGCTCCTGATCTATCTATGTATGCATCTATCTATCTATCTATCTATCCATCTGTGTATCTATCTATCTATCTATCTATCTATCTATCTATCCATCTGTCTATCTATCTATCTATCTATGTATCTATCTATCTATCTATCCATCTGTCTATCTATCTATCTATCTATGTATCTATCTATCTATCTATCCATCTGTGTATCTATCTATCTATCTATCTATCCATCTGTGTATCTATCTATCTATCCATCTATCCATCTGTGTATCTATCTATCTATCTATCCATCTGTGTATC